ACCAGGCATGCGTTGGGACACAGCTTTGAGATACCTCCTCATGGTGCCGCCGGGAAACGACAGTCTTGGGGGTCTGGATCAGTATGACCTTCTGGTGAGCAAGGCTGACAACCTTATGGCTGACTAACCTTACTGAGTTTTTCCAAATGGTGTTTTTGGAACCTGAATCTGTTTCATCTATATGTGTAAGGGAGAATATGTTCTCACTGAACTGGGTCCATTAGAAAGAGCTAGTCTCATTTACACATAGCTTAAATCTCCAGTGTGATAAATAATGAAAGTTATAAATGAATGACTGTAGGCTGGGGGCATGTGGTAGCGTAGTTGGTTGAGACACTATGCTACAAGCTGGAAGGTCGTGGGTTTGTCTCCCGATGAGGTCACTGAATTTTTCAATTGACCGAATCCTACCAGCTGCACAACGGCCCCGAGGTCAACTTGTACCAGAAATCTTTCTGCAGTTAAAGGGTGGTCAGCCTGTAAGACTGACAACCTCACTGCCATCTGTGAGACGACTGTCTAGAAAATGTTGGAATCTCAACGTCTCACAACCCCATGGGCTTCATGGCCTGTAGCAGGGACAGCTTTATTTTTCTTTTATATATTAGATGTATACAGAAGACCCAATTTTGCTCTTTAGTACTGTGATCTACAAAATAAGGTGACAAGGACTACATTTTACAAGTCAGACCTACTTTATACAAATAAAAGGCCACATACTAAGTATCAATCCTATGTCTTACAAAGACGTACTTACAGCAGGTACTCGTAACGTTCCAAACACTGTGCTGCTGTTCGTCCAATGATACGTGCAATGGTTCGCCACAGAGTTGGTATCAATTTTGCTAGATGCAAGAGTTTCTCGTCTTCTTCAAGGCTCCACTCTGTTTTCTTTATACTTGGGTCCAACCATTCATTCCAACGGGCTTTGCATTGCTTTGCTGACTTCCTATGTAGTAGTGATGAATTACGGGACCACTGGTGTTTCCCATATTTCATCACAGCTGCCTTCAAGCACTCGTCCTGATTTATATAATGAAATTTCATATCAGAAAATACANATGTATCAAAATTAGACACCGTCAAAATGCACATAACCTCAAAAGCAACTAGAAATACCTATCATTGCTTACCTCTGTGTTCCTCCACACTCCACCTTTTATCATTATACGAGGCATGATTAGGCTTTCGGTTCTAAGCGATGGAACAAAAGGCACAAGCGAATCGCTTAAAATGAAGATTTAATACTCAAACAGTATGTATTACTCACTAAGCTCTTTTTCACCCCTTGCAACTCTTCGCTAATGGCGGAAAACATGGCCGCCTTGACGTCACGTGACATTTCTGCTGCCATCTCTACGGAGACGTTGCCTAACTAAATGAGAAACGGCCACCAGCACCGACAACATAATCAACAAAATAGAATTCTACTATACCATGAAAGGTCTCGGTAGTCTACAGACAACGTTCCCACCTCATGACTCGTAGTACCCGGGTTCAAATACCCG